CGTTTCGTCCTGAGCCTCCTAGTGGACTCGTCAGTAGGGCTCAAATTTGAGCCCTGAAAATTTACTTTTTCACTATTTCGGAAACTATTGAAATTATAAAGATTCGAAAGAATATTTAATGCGTGTTCCTTTCTATATGCCAACTCCTAAAACTGAGGGGTGAAAATAAGCCTCAAATTTGAGGCCTCGAAATTTACTTTTTCACTATTTCGGAAACTATTGAAATTACAAAGATTCGGAAGAATATTTAACGCGTATTCTTTTCTCTCCACATTTCCAAAGCTATCGAGGTTTATTTGCTATCGAGGTCAATTCCCAAATTTGAGGGGTGAAAGCCTCAAAGTTAAGTCCTCAATCTTTGCGGGAGGCACTCAGGAAGAATTCAGGTCAGAAGTTGTATATATACAAACAGAAGCCTTTACGAGGACTAGCGAGAACCGGTGCTTAGTCCATCCCTCTGGTGGCAGAGCGCAGGAAGCTCGCCACGGTTAGCTTAAGCAAAATAAAAGAACGCAACTCCTTGTAATCTCAAAAAGAAAACAATAAACACAATACTACTACTTAATAAACAAAATACTGTTATTTATGCTCGCAGAAAAATCATGGAGAGAGGATCGTCGACACCGTGGCAGGAGACTTTGCAGGAAGCTACCGGCGAAGACACGTTGGACGCGTCCGCACTCAGAGAATACTTCAGGCCTCTCGAGGACTGGTTGAGAACGGAGAACCTGAGGACCGGTGACGTCGTCGGCTGGTCTTACGGTGAGAATCTGATTAATTTCCCTCGTTAATATGATCTTAACACATCTAGATTTTCTACCATTCATTAAGGAGTCCGAATCTCATTCTCACATAATTTTCTTTGGAATTTTCTGCTGTAACGTTGTTACGTATGAGGAACCATCAATTTTGCATTCAGTTTCTTAATGCGGAGTACTTTGCACGTTGGTTCGTTGAAATTTTTGTTAACTGTGCGCTGGTTGGCGCCTATTTTTCACGAGCGACACTTGGAAAGATTCTCAGCACGCAAGTATTGTAGCTTCGGATAATAAAATAACGACTATCTTGTATTTCGTGTAATTTACACCAAGTGAATTTACAGAAATTGGGTAAAACTATGTTTAGTGGGCATATTTTTGAGGAAAAAATGAGAGTAAAAATATATTAAACGATTTAATAATCAGGCAAATTTATACAATGGTACACCACAAAATTCGCAAATAAATCGATTACATCCATTTTTCGCGTCGTTAATTGCAAAAGAAACGCCAGATCTCCCAAAAGCGAAACTTTTGGCTGACACTGTATCGAACGTCTCGAATCCAATCAGTGACTGGAGAACACGTCACTGTTCACGATCGAGCCGATCGATTTCATGTTACATAACCGACCAGTAAGAGAACTGTCTCTCAATGAACGATACAGGCTAGATTAACGGTCTTAATTAGCTAATCGAAGACGTTTATAATAAACTTCCGTTTTCTTATATCACAGCTCGGTAACATTCTCTTCCCTCCTCTACTTCGTCCTTTTTAAACTTACGTATACTCGCGATCTCTATCGATAAAACGATATCTTTGCAATTTAGCAATTACACGTAGCAGAAAAATCAAAGAAAAAAGGGAAGAGAAGAAAGAAAAGTAGGAACCAATTCGCGGGACACGACGACGCGATCAAGAACGCAGCGGCGGCGCGGACGCCTTTCATCGTAACTCGTTACAAATTATGCAATTTCCTACCGTAACAGATTGAAGGTTGCAGTTCCCACGTGCCAGTTACCGTCGGCGCAGAGCTCTACAAATATTCATCGTGTGACGACACTCGACTGAATTACGATCCACGGGTGAAATTATTGGGATCGGTGTGTTACATCTTCTGTAACCGCGTAAAGGAAAGAAAGAAGAACGACAGATCTTGCCAAATTCGCGGTTCAACCGGAGAGTCGAGTTACGTAAAAACGTGGTATAAACAGCTGTGTGCGCGTGTGGTAAGAACCGGTGAAAAGGAAGAGTGACCGAGAGAGATACTTTCATTGGTGGACGGTAATTAATCGGGCCGATGGATTATCTAACGAGCAAGAGTTCTTCTTGGTCTGATTGATCGTTGGCTTGACCAGAGAGACTCTGGCCATTAAAACTATGAAAGCATCTCGCGTGTTGCCGAGCGATATTAATTCCTTCGTGGTTTTGTTACTTCGCTCTAATGAATTTCTGCTTAACCCTTTGACTACGACGTGCTCTAGAGACATTTTTCCCATGAATAGCGTGGTATTTGCGAGGTTGCTTGATGGAGGATAGCTCGTGTTGGATAACAGGGGATGGTTCCCAAGAGAACATTCGCGATTTTGTGTGATAGATGTTTGGAATGAGTATTCTTTCTTTCTATGACAACTCTAGAATTTTGGGGGTGAAAATGGGCCTCAGAGTTTGCTTTTTTAATGTTTCGAAAATTATTGGATTTGTAGAGATAGGAAAGAATATTTAACTCGTATTCTTCTTTATATGCAAGCTCCTAAATTTTGGTGGTGAAAATAGGCCTCAAAGTTGAGGGCTCAAAACTTACTTTTGAAATTACAGAGATTCGGAAGAATATTTAACCCGTATTTTCCTAAATTTTCGGGGTGAAAATACGCCTCAAAGGTGAGGCCTCAAATTTACCTTCTCAATATTTCGGAAATTATTGAAATTATAAAGATTCGCAAGAGTATTTAACGCGTATTCCTTTCTATATGCCAATTCCTAAATTTGAGAGGTGAAAGTAGCCCTCAAACTTAAGTCCTCGAAATTCACTTTTTCAACATTTCGGAAAGCATCGAAATTATAAAGATTCGAAAGAATATTTTACGCGCATTTTCCTAAATTTCAGGGCTGCAAATATCCTTCGAACTTAAGCCCTCAAACTTTCCTCTCTCCATGTTTGAAAAACTATCGGGAAACTATCTTCTCTAACAAAAATCTACACTCGAAAATCTTCCCTGGTGAATCACTTGTGTCTCCAAAAACCACTTTACTCAAACTAAACCAAACAATCTACGAAAAAAAACCTTATTTACCGATTCGCTTATACCAGAACAGTTACCCCAAAAAAACCGTCCACCTGAAAAATCGAACGACCAAACTCAGCGTAGCGAAACTTTTCACGGTTAACCGTTTGATCCACCGTAAAGATCCAGCGACCGGAATTCGACACAAGGAAACGTCACGGTTATTTCCGCGACAAGCCGCGAACCAGGGTCCAATCAGGCGAGGGCTCGCTAGGCCCAGGGCCCCGTGGGACTGTTCGATTGCGAAATCGGAGCAGAACGAGGAAAGAGCGCGAGCATTCGGTAGAGGGAGAGGAGGGGGAGTGGGCCTTTCAGGCCCCCGAGAGAAACACACGGTTCGCAACGAAACAGAGAGGGAAATATCGGAGTCGTGAGACACGTTCGACGATTCCACTCTCGTTTCCATTGCACGTTGCGCCTGGTCGATTTGCCTTTCGAGCTCTCGAGAGCACACGTGTCTGCCATTTGTTCCACAAGAACACTTTGCTCCTCTCTTCCGTGTTTTTCATCTAAAGAAAAAAGGAAAGAAAAAAGAAACGAGTGTCATCGAGCACCGTCGTAAATTCACATGATTTTCAAGTTTCGAAATGTCGTTCAAAGTTACGTTACTTAGGATATGTTCGAAGTGGAGGGGTGAAGAGGTAAGGAGGAAAATGGGAGACAGGTTCGGCGACACGGAGGAAAAATGGCACGCTTCTGAGAAGTGATCGCGATGGAAAGCGCAGATGTACGTGACCGGCGCGTTACGAGGAGAAAGAGCCGCCTGTTGTATAATTTCTCTGTCGATCGTGATACTTATGCGTGTGTTCCTCTTGCCTCCTTTTTTCTCTCTTTCTCTCTCTTTCTCTCTTTGGTTCCCTCGAAAGGAGCGCTTGTGATCGGCCGCTTCGATCCCTCGAGATACTTTCCAACGTGTACCTTCCTATCGCGAAAATATCTCCGCAAATTTTTTTCTTTTTTCTTCTACCTGCGTAAATTATCACCTTTCCTTTCTCCCCGCGTTCGACGAGAACCAGATTTCGCGTGAAACGTAAAAATCCCGAATTACCGCGAAAAGAATGATCGAAAAGAGGTTAGGTTCCACAGATTGTATCTTCCTCCTCAGAAATTAGCGATATTAGCATAAATTGAATATTTATAGACACGTACGACGTTAATTACGAGCTTGTACACCGTGTAATCGCGTCAGTTATTGGAGTCGTCTGTCGAGCTTAATTAGTCGCTCGCAGGTGCGCGAAATTACGATGGTGGAAAAAAAGAGTGAAGGAAGAGGCGAAGTTGCGAGATACGGTAGGTTGAAGGATCGATAACTTTGCAGTTGACGCGAGGGTAAATGGTTGAATTTTTCACGGTGATCGAGCAAGTTGAAACAGCACGTGACGCGAGTCGAAAGGGAAAACGACGACCTGTTTTGTGTTTCGTTCTTTCTGTTGTCCCTTTTTTGTTTTCTCTCTTCCCTCGATCTCGATTGCAGGATTTTAGAACGGATCTCGTTTGGTATCCTTCGCCCTGCAGCGTGAACGATCTTACAGCTCGATCTGCAAGGTAAACGTTCTCTCCGTTGCGCTTTACGAGCTTTATTATTCACGGTGGAGCAAGTGCTGTTCGAATACAATTGAAACGACTGAATTATAGGTTATTACACCGTTCCAGGTTTATCTAGTCTAATGTGCCGTGAGAGCTCCAATTACTCATTCTAGTTGCCCCTTTTTATCATCCTTATTACTTTGCTGCGGTAGATTTGAACGATGGAGAATTCGTGGACGTATTCTGTGCTAAGTTATGGGAACTGAGGGACAGTTCGATTTTTGTAATTGAAAAAATTTGCTAATTCGTTTCTTTTTAATTCTTGGGAACTCGAGTGCAGCACAGTGGTTCCAAATTTTTGGCCAAATGTGTGTAGATATTTTTTATAATAATGTTAATTTTCTCAAATTGAAAGCGAACTCAGTGTTTGCAATTGAAAATGGAAGATATTTGCTAATTCTTTTTTTTTTAATTCTTGGGAACTCGAGTGCAGCACAGTTGTTCCAAATTTTTGGCCAAAAGTGTGTAGATATTTTTTATAATAATGTTAATTTTCTCAAATTGAAAGCGAACTCAGTATTTGCAATTGAAAATGGAAGATATTTGCTAATTCTTTTTTTTTTAATTCTTGGGAACTCGAGTGCAGCACAGTGGTTCCAAATTTTTGGCCAAAAGTGTGTAGATATTTTTTATAATAGTGCTAATTTTTGCAAATTGAAAGAAAGCCCAGTATTTGCAATTGAAAATTGAAAAAATTTGCCAATTCTTTGGGAAATTTTTGAGTAACTTAAATACATCACAGTGGTTCCAAATTTTTGGCAAAAAGTGTATAGATATTTTTTTATAACAGTGCTAATTTTTGCAAATCGATGACCAACTCAGTGTTTGCAATTGAAAATTGAAAAAATTTGCTGATTTCTTTCTGAAAATTCTTGAGTAACTTGAGTGAAGCACAGTGGTTTTAAATTGTTAGCCAAGAATGTATAGATATTTTTTATAATAACACTGCAATAGTCTTCGTTATGAAAAGTTTCGACAATAAAGAAAACGGAAGATCCAAAGTACAATCGAGTAAATTAATCACGTTTAAAAATAGCGATATTTCCAAGAATTTCACACATTCCGCGAACACTTTCGTCTTCGTGAAATCATTCATCGACACGATAATAATTGCAACACGATACTACTATTTGACGTAATACAGCGTAACTATGTATTACTCGGATTGCAGACGGAGATTATTGCAAGCGCAGCATCGAGACCGCTGGACTGCAAGTATACGGAAGTGGGTTCTACAACGCTGCCACGACGATCGATTCGAGAACCGTTTTACCAGGAATTATGGCAATTTTCCTCGCGATTTTCACTCTTCGTTAAGAGGGTAGAATTCTTCTTCTTATTTTTTTAAACAGTGGGCCAAAAAGCGTTGAAGAAATATTTGAGGACACTTTCCCTTCCCCGGAGGGTCAGACACGATCGATATTCCTCGATCCACCAAAGCCAGAACAGACCAAATAAATGACCAAACGTTTAGGTGATCGTTCAATGAAAATAGCAGCTTAGCTCGAGTGAGCTCGAGTGATTTTCTGATGAAGTTAAGGAGACCATAGAAAAGAGCATTCAGTGGCATTTTATTGACGCCATTTTGGTATCCAATAGAGAACTGTAGCCTTTGTTGATAATTGTTGTTTAATAAATATAAACCTCTCTTCTATTGATAATAACGAAAAATATGAATTATCGCTAAAATAATGTAGACGATTTTAAAAAATTATCGAAGACAAAATGGCCACATCTTACTGACGCCATTTTGATATCCAACGGAGAACTATATAAAGTGAATAATTGTTTTTTATTAAACATAAATATAAACCTCTCTTCTATTAATAATAAACAAAAGTATGAATTATCACTTTACAAGATAATCCAAGACAAAATGGTCGTCTTAGCTGTCAAAATGGCCACATCTTGCTGACGCCATTTTGGTATCCAAATGGAGAACTATATATTATAAACTGAATAATTATTTTTTAATAAATAGAAATAGAAATTTCTCTTCTATCGATAATAACGAAAAATATAAATTATCACTAAGATAATGTTAATGATTTTAAAAGATAATCCAAGACAAAATGGCCACATCTTGCTGACGCCATTTTGGTATCCAACGGAGAACTATATAAAGTGAATAATTGTTTTTTATTAAACATAAATGGAAATTTCTCTTCTATTAATAATAACCAAAAGTATGAATTATCACTTTACAAGATAATCCAAGACAAAATGGTCGTCTTAGCTGTCAAAATGGCCACATCTTGCTGACGCCATTTTGGTATCCAAATGGAGAACTATATATTATAAACTGAATAATTATTTTTTAATAAATACGAATTTCTCTTCTATTAATAATAATCAAAAGTATGAATTACCGCTAAGATAATGTAAATTATTTTAAAATGAATAATTGCTCTTTATTAAATATAAGTGGAAATTTCTCTTCTATTAGTAATAACGAAAATTGTCGCTAAAATAGTGCGAACGATTTTAAAAAGATAATCAAAGAGAAAATGGTCGCCTTAGCTGTCAAAATGGCCACGCGAATGTCACTGGAAACGTGCACCAGGCGATCACTGTTATTACACTAAGTATCCATTATTAATTTAGCCGCAGCACGGTAATTGTACGCGTGTAATTAAGCTCGCGTGTCGTTCGAGTGAACGCGAGCGCATAAATCGTTTTCAGCCGTGGCTCTCGCGCCTCTGAAACGCCCTCGCTCCCGACGTTTAATAAAGACAGAGAGATTTACGTTCCCCGTCGTTAAACGGTGCCAGCAGCTCGCTTTTCAATTCAGAAAACGTGCTTTTCTTCCCTCGAACGCCAGTTCAAACTCCGCACATACACCCCCTTTTCTGTAAATATATAGAATCATTTATTCCTTCGAGTATATTCAAATGATCGCGATGGACCGAGTTAAGTAGGGCCAAGTACGTCATCGTGCAAATGTAACGTGCTTTTTACACTTTTCACAACTTTCAATCCGTTTCAACGCGTAACCTGTAATTAGAAAATAAACAAGGAAGAAAAAGTATCTCTTATCATTGCTATTATCATGTTTGTAATTTTCACGGGGATAATATATATATATATATTGTATTTCTGTGCGTAAGTGTTACGTCACGGAAGAACAACTCGTCGTTATTTTTTTATTAAAAAAAGAAATTGTAGCTAAGTGTGTAAACATGGAAACGAGTAATAAAGAAAACACGAAACTTGGAGGGTATCTGTTCGACGTTATTTCCACCTTTATGAATAGTGTATCGTTGAAAAAGAAAAAGGAAGAAAGAAGAGAATTTCGATGTGTTTCGCAGTGTGTCCATTTATGAAAGAGAGTGAACGTGGATACGCTTGGACTTTTTTACGGTCCACAAAGAGATGCCATTATACCCGACTTTCGCAGCTCTCGCAGGACACGGAATCGAGAGGACTGGCCGGACCTTCGGATAAAAGTTGCTCGACGGCGAGCGCCGAAATTGGTTTATCCGATTGCGTAATTAAAGGACCCGACGCGGTGGCTCGCTCTCTTCTGTATAATCGCGTTACATCGGGACGTGTAAAAATTGTAATATCACCGAGCACACCTTCATTTCAGTGGTAGATGTACAGGGTGTCTCGGTAGTTCTTGTATTTTTAACAGTGCAAAATTAATTTATATTATTGAAAGGTGTCTTAATATTTGGGAAATTAATTCAACACGTTCCAGGACTCGGGATCCAAAGGAGATGCACGCGAAAGTAGATCGAAGTGACAAGAATTTAACACTATTTTTCTGTAATTAAATTAATTTTTTTATATTTATGTGATGTGACTCTTTAACTCCGTTTTAAAATTCTGCGAAGCCTTCTGTTCTTCCTGTGGTGCAGAATCGAGTAGGGAACGAAAGGGGATCCAATTTTTTATCTTGTAAAGATCGTCTTTTCTTGGGACATTATTTTTTTTATAATTAAAGATCGTGATGTGACTCTTTAATTCCGTTTTAAAATTCTGTCAAACCTTCTATGTTTTCTATGACATAAAATTAAGTGACAGAGATTCATTTTTTATTTCATGAAGATCGTCTCTTCTTGGGACACTAGTTTCCAATAATTTAGTGTCATTTTCTAACTTCGTTTTAAAATTCTATGAAACCTCGTACGTCTACTTGGCACAAAATCGAATATTAAGTGAAAGAGACTCATTCTTTATTTCATAGGAGATCGTCTCTTCTTGGATCACTATTTTCCAATAATTAAACATTTTAGTCCAACTCTTTACCTTCCTTTTAAAATTCTGTCAAACCTTCTGTACCTTTAGTGTCACGCAGTCGACTAAAAACTGAAAAAGATGCACAAAAAGTCGTCTTTTCTCGAAACATCCCGTCAAATTAGTGTGGATTTGGTATTATTAGTAGAATATACGTGGACATTCTGGGAGTCGGTATGATCTATGGCTGACGCTCGAAACGACTTGAAATTGGCGAAGCGGGCAGTGTCTTAGTTGGAATGGGTAGAGCAGCGTGGTTGATGAGAATAAGTGTATTCCCTTTAACGTATCCTTATCTTCGTTGTGCAACTGTTCTTATCAAATACATTCGTGTTAAAAATCTTCAACCACGTGTTATTTACCCGCAATTAGCAAATCCCTAAAAATCTCCCCCAAAAACCCCCCTTTCCCCGCGTATTCTCTCCACAAAAATTCGCGAAAATTTCACGAAGAAGGTGTATCCGTGCGACAGAGGTGTTGGTTTGTAAGATTAAAGATGCTGTCCTTTCGTTGTAACTTTCTTACGAATCGAGCGTGTGTGTAGGACGACAGCTTTCACGACGGCGCGGCCGCAACAGGAGACGTTATTGTTCTTACGGGACAGCCGACCGGGCATAATTACACAAAGGTGGTCTGTCCAGAAACTGGTTCACCCACTTGCGTAACGCGAAGATGCGGAAACCGGCAGAGTTTGAAAGACCGGCAGCCCCACGATTGCGTCACGTCGAACGTGCCCCGATGCTTTTATTCGATCCGACTTTCGTACGTGGGTCCGATCTTATCTGATCCCTGTTTCTCGATGCGTCTCGAGTATTACCATCGCGATGACATTTCAGACATTTCGGAGAGAAATCGTTCGACGTTAAGGACGTTAAAAACGAAGAAGAAGAAAAAAGAATGCGTTGCGTACGAGAATTATAATCGAGTGGAGGATGAAGAAGTTCGATCGGATAGACAAAGAGAATTTCACTGTTGCAGGTAGGCGCAACGAAATCGAACGAAAGGAAGAATGATGAAAAGTTGATTTCCATACGTCTATAATTCATCCACGAGTAAACGAGCCGCAGAAATTCGCTAGATTTCTCCTAGGAACACGCAACACGGCGGAGAAAATTTGTTGTAAGATTGAACTTCCTTAAAGAAGAACGTCTCTATCATAATTTGATATCAGACGTATATATGTACAGTGGATAATCTGATCTTGCTGAAATTAGCTAGGTGGATATACGTATTTCGTTTGATCTAACACGATTACTTGCGTAACCGGCATGAACTTCCTAATTAACGGACATTAATTCAATAATGCCTGTAGAATTTTTACCTTCGATCAAGTTAATTAACAAGTGATCGTATCGATCTCGATGATCGCTAGGAATAAATTGAAATCGTGGTGTAACCGAGTATAACTGCTCGCCGTTTCTCTGCAACGGTGAACTTCGATAAAACTGAGAGAGAGAGAGAGAAAAAGGAATAAAAGTGTGGGATTAGAGAGAGAGAAGCAGAGAGTCGGAGAGTGAGAGAATCAGAAAGAGAGAATCAAAAAGTGAAGAAAATCAGAAAGAGAGAGAGAGAGAGAGAGAATCAAAAAGAAAGATAGTCAGAAAGTAAAAAAAGTCAGAAAGAGAGAGAAAGAAAGTCAGAGAATTAGAAAGAGTGAGAGTCGAAGAGTGAAGAAAATCAGAAAGAGAGAGAGAATCAGAATGAAAGACAGTCGGAAAGTGAGAAAAAATCAGAAAGAGAGAGAGAGAGAGAGAGAGAGAATCAAAAAGAAAGATAGTCAGAAAGAAAAAAAAGACAGAAAGAGAGAGAAAGAAAGTCAGAGAATTAGAAAGAGTGAGAGTCGAAGAGTGAAGAAAATCAGAAAGAGAGAGAGAATCAGAATGAAAGACAGTCGGAAAGTGAGAAAAAATCAGAAAGAGAGAGAGAGAGAGAGAGAGAGAATCAAAAAGAAAGATAGTCAGAAAGAAAAAAAAGACAGAAAGAGAGAGAAAGAAAGTCAGAGAATTAGAAAGAGTGAGAGTCGAAGAGTGAAGAAAATCAGAAAGAGAGAGAGAATCAGAATGAAAGACAGTCGGAAAGTGAGAAAAAATCAGAAAGAGAGAGAGAGAGAGAGAGAGAGAATCAAAAAGAAAGATAGTCAGAAAGAAAAAAAAGACAGAAAGAGAGAGAAAGAAAGTCAGAGAATTAGAAAGAGTGAGAGTCGAAGAGTGAAGAAAATCAGAAAGAGAGAGAGAATCAGAATGAAAGACAGTCGGAAAGTGAGAAAAAATCAGAAAGAGAGAGAGAGAGAGAGAGAGAGAA